CCTACGGCTGAAAGGGCGAGCATGTTTGGTGTGACAGGGATCCGAACCCTGGTAAAGAGACACTGCTGACTGAACATTAAATTTGACGTCATAACTATTACTTCAAACATCTATTATTTACTGTTTAACTACACATTATTGAACATCACTGGTTTTCAATTTCAGAAATCTGAATTTTTTTGGATGTCATAAATTATCGATGATGTAAGAAAAGGTATTTTTTCCAGCTTTACTGGTTTTTTGAAAATTCGAATAAAAAGTGAATTATTTCAATATAATAGTTGTAAGTATCACGAGTTTATTTGTTTGTAGAGCACGATTCGGGAGGAACAGAGCAGGGTTTGGCAACGCCGCAGCGCCCTCTGTGATGTTAACAGATATGGAGGAAGCTCCATCGGATCCACACTCACGACGTCTATCGAGATGCAGCAGCAACAGTGATTATCTTCCTGGTTCAGGAAGAGCAAGTTACTCGATGCTGGCGCCACCTGCATCGGCAGGTGTGTTCAAAGTTTAATTTATTACTATTAACACCAATTTTTAAGTATGCAGCAGAGATCAGGTTTGCCTTTTGTTTAGCAAACTTAAACACCAATCTGCTCCACCCCTTCAAAAACAAAAAAGTAATTTAAATCATATGATAATTGGATTGTAATTACCAGAATACGTGAGATTGGCTCTTTTAAGGTTCCTGTTTTTTGTGACGTCACCTATGACGTATATTTGAACATACTAATAGCTTGTGTAATGTACCAGATGGTGTCAAGTTAACGTGATGAAAGGTTATAAAGCTGGTATCTGTTGTTGTTGTTCTCCTGAGAGTAGTTTTGTACAGTTTAAATAAAACAAAACCAAGTAAAATTAAATGTTGAGTGCCCCTTTCTTTACAATTTAAACGTTGCGTATAAATTCAGTTGTTTGTTTAAGACATGAGGGTTTGATTTTACTTCATTTATTTTTTTTACTTTGTTTTGTTGCAGAACCAAAGTAAAAATATATAAGCTTCAGTTTAATCTCTGTGAAAACAATGCTGTTCAAAAAACAATCGGTTTTTATAGGAACTCAAAAGTAAATACCCGTTGTTTTCATTTCTGAAACTGAAAGGTTCACGTCGGTCGAGCTCCATTTCTGTGCGTTCCCAGGGTTCCGTGCGAAGCCATGCGTCATCATTTCGCAGCCAATCATCGTTCCGGAGTTATCGTGGAGGGAGACGGGACTCTGTTAGACGAACTCGTTCAACACCAACAGAAGCTTCAACGTCAAAATTTAATCATCCCAAACACACGAACAAAACTAATCAAGAAGATAAAGTAAGGGTACTTATTTTGACTTAACTCTCAATAATTCTTGTCATCTAATCAATATGACTGATTATGGTAATCACCATACTCTTAAAAGTTGTTTTATTGTTACGTCATCTTGTGAATAATACTAATTTCTAAACTCTCACATATTTGTTACGTCATCAATCGACAATGTTTTTACTCCCAATATTCTTACGTCATCAAGTGACACTATTTTCTAAACTCTCAATATTGTTACGTCATCAAGTGACAATGTTTTTTGGACTCCCAATATTGTTACGTCACAAAGTGACTAATTTTCTAAACTCTCAATATTGTTACGTCATCAAGTGACAATGTTTTTTGGACTCCCAATATTGTTACGTCACAAAGTGACTAATTTTCTAAACTCTCAATATTGTTACGTCATCAAGTGACAATGTTTTTTGGACTCCCAATATTGTTACGTCACAAAGTGACTAATTTTCTAAACTATCATAAGATTCTCACGTGATTAATAATATTTTCTAAACTCTCGCTTATTTTGGAAGTTGAAAACAAAAACCGAGTTGCTTTATAAGTCAAGGCTTTACTCCCAACGGAATTATTTACTTCAAAGGTCGAAATTACCGAAATGCTCACTAGATGTCAAGTTCTTCTCGAGAGATTTCTGGAATTGTTTTCAAGTTTACTACAAGTTATCGTCAGTACTTTTTGTTCACGCGCACCATTATTTCTGTTTGAAAGAAAGATGTTACTTAAATCTCTTGTAAAATTTACTCAACTTCAATTCTTTAATTAATGTTTTTTTTTACTTACAGTTTTATTCATTTTGATCAAAACACTTTCATTTTCACGATTTAAAACGTTCATTTCACACCACTATGACAGAATTGGGCAAATACTTCATTTACAAATGTCATGAGAAGCATATTTACTAATTAAAATTTGTGTGATGTTATATCAATAGTTTCACGAAAATTCCATTAGGCTTAGACCATTAAAATGTCGCATATTAGCCGTCCAAAGCAGTAATAGTTTCCAAAAAGATTAACTGGTTTGAACATTGGGTTGAACAGAGAAGTAATTACGACATAAAAAATAAACCATTTAACATAATTTTGTAGAGAACTTTTCTCGTTGTTTAACGAACATATTCTGGCTTATTGAGTAAGGCATTTGAGAGCAATTAAAAACTTTTAACAAAAATCAGTAATTGTGGTAACTATTATTGTTATATTTGTTATTATATTAATGCGTTACTAGTGTGATGCTTCAAAAATGTTCATTAAAATTTTGTTGTCATTGTTTTGGGTTAATTGAAGTGAACATAACATAATTAATATTTAGAAATAGAAATTGTTCTGATTTATTTAGAAAAAAAAATCACAGAATAATCATGTTTGTATATTTTTCTCTCACTAGGTGACAGCACCATCGCAAGAAACACTAACTGACGCAGTACGAAATGATACATAAAAACTGCTTTATGTTCCATTAAAATAGGCCTAGAAGAATCTTCATGGATTCAAAGAACTCTTACATATCATTTCCCTCGAACAGCAGGGCAGTGAAACTAAACACATTGCTACGTTATAAACGATATCGTTTGAGAATTTTACGAGCACAAATTATTAACTTCGTGAAATTAAATTAATTTTTTTTATTTTTAAGATAACTCACATAAAAAAGCTCAGGTAAATAAAACACAAGATAAATTAAATCTAAACCGTTACCTAACGTAGATGTGTGGGGTGTCCCCGCTTATAACTGGCGATTCGCTATACCCATTGTCACCAAATTTGAAGAGGGTAATTCTTAGGTCCCTAGAAGTGATTTGCGCCATCTTTGGACTCAGTAGGATATCAGAACTACAGGTAATAATGGTATTAGTTATAAGTTAAACATAATATATATTAAACGACAATACTGGTTATATTAGATATCAGAACTACAGGTAATAATGGTATTAGTTATAAGTTAAACATAATCTATATTAAACGACAATACTGGTTATATTTGATATCAGAACTACAGTTTTCAAAAAACGCTCGATCACTATCTTGACGAGGTTAAGAGTAAAAATCCCAATGACATATATAATTGTAACAACCGTGTGATCTTGTTCAAACTATACTCCTCGGCATGTAATGGAGCACGTAAAAAGTTCAAATGAGGATAAAATGTAGGAAAAGTAAAGAGTTTATATTTTCCTTTATGTTGACCTTCAGATCGAAGAAAGTTAGAAAACTTCTTCATGAAAAATAAAGGTTGGAATGGGTTGCAGATAGTTTGTGTTAAACAGATATTTCTAGTTGAAACTCAAAATAGAAGTCACTTAACGTGTCCTCACTCACTGAACTTCTATCACTTGTTTGAGGTAATCAATAAGTTATTTTCAAAACAACGGTTCCTGTATTAAAAACAAACACCAGTTTAAGACGAGCCGCTTCCAGTTCATTTTAACTTCTTCTAACACATTTAAAAAACAAAATAATCACAGTGTTAATTTACTTGGTAGGTGGATCAAAGAAGAACAAAACTTATTTTCTGTATTACTCATCCGATACCTGAAACTTAGTAACACTTCTATATAACCGAGAAAATCTCTGTTAGGCCTAACCTGAACTTTAAGCAAAACGACTTCAGACCTAAAGGCAAACTCCTACTAAAGTAGGCTTAGGTATTTAGCGCTCACCACTTTCGACTTGTTTTTGGCCATCTGTCGATTCTTTTTGTACTTAAAAATATAAAGTTGTAATTATGAAAAGAAATAATTGAAAATTTGTTTTGCAACCTTGTATCTGATAATTTCCCATCTTATTTGGACAATTTCTTGTATCCTTGGAAATTCTAATTTTAACAAATTTTCACTGTCTCGTTTCACTGTCGGTCTGAAATTTCTTAAAGATGAGTATAGTTCAAGAATTCTCTATTTAAATACCCGATTTTTCCGTAATAATAAGAGACCACAAATTGAATGGGAAATTTAACTGTTTTTAGAAAGAACTAAACCATCTTAAAAGTTCTCAAGAGTCTGCGCTATAACACATCTTTGAAGTAGTTAGTCTTAGCACGTTCTAGGGCTGGTGATAGTAGTATCATGCACAGCAATTTTAATTACTTGTTCTAAATATATCTTTGTGGTTTAGCGGCTCTGGAAACTCACACAAGTTACACAGGTGGTCGAGGATATTGGCGGGATTTGCTGATTACTTAGTTAAGAACAAATATAAAGTGTTTATTGTATACATATACTGGGTTGAGCAAAAGTGGCTATACAATTGTTTCATTTAGAGCATTGTTTCGAAATGAGACGATACAAATTAAATTAACAATAACTAAATTGGTTGAAAATTCTTTCATAATAGTTTTCTTTCAGTATCAACCCTATAATAACATCTGTGATGACCTACTAAGAGCTTTTCCCTTGCTCTATATATATATTGATGAAAGAGGAGATTAGTTACCAAATAAAGGATTAGATTGGTATTAAATTTTTACTTGAAAGATGCTTAAATCATCAATATGTGTCGCTGGTATCTCCCTCTGAAGAAATTATTGTAAAAGCACAAAATATACTGTTTGATGTTTAAGAAATATTATATGTTAATATTATAATTGACTTCTTCTCAGTTCCTTTGTTTTATTATAACATCATCTTGAAATACAACAACTTGAATAAAGTTATTTAAAATGTTTCACGATTCTCTGTTATTTAATAAGATTTACCTTGTTGTGCTAAGACTATTAGTTCTAACGTTCAGCAACTATTTGTATGAAGGTGAAAACATTTCTACAGGGGTTGTTAAACTCTGAAAAAAGTAATCATTTATTATGATTTTAATGGATATAATGGGTAAAATATAATCAGTTCGAACAGTTGCACCCTAAAAATCTAATAAACGGGTAAAATCAAAGCATGACTCATAATGGCTGGAGACGGCTTGAATGGGTAATGAAGAAAAACTTTAATATAACAGCAAATGTACAACGTTTCGACAAGGTTTTGTCATCATCAGGTACAAGTAATTTACACTGACATGACTCAGTATCTCCAACTGAATTATTAAAAAAAATAGATAAAAACTTTACTAAGGTCCAAAAATAACTATAAAAATCCATTTAAACAACCAATATAGCAGTAAAGGAGTTCCAGTTGTGGAGTAAAACCTTACAAATCAGCTAAATGAGCTCAACGAAACAGCAAAAATGTTACTTTAACAACAACACATGTGTGACTAAAGTAAAAAAAAGTAAATCATTTAACAGCTAAAAGCCAAGGATTAAAGAAGATACGGGAAACTAAGCAACAAATGGTATTCAGAAACAGAAGCTATACTATCTAACACAATAATTAGCAATATATTTAGATTTTGTCTTACTGGAGTTCACAGCTAAGGTGCTGCCATCTGTTAGGATAAATTTATGTTTCTTATGCAAGTATTCAGTAGATATCGACAATTCGTTTTTTTTGCATCAATGATGAAAAAGCTATATTTGCATAAATTTGGGAACAAAAAACGTCACTGAGTACTAATATAATTAATTAATAAGAATAAAATGAAATAAAATAAAACTTAATAGATGACGTTCTACTGGGTTTCATTTTCACAGATGGTTTGTAAAACAAGAGATGCGGAAATTGACGAATCACATGGATGCTACTGTACCTTTTAAATCAACTGTGACTCACTTTGTTGCGAGTCAAACAGTCATGGATTTAATGCAATGCTGTCTGAAGTACATATATGCCATGCTGTCGTGTCTCTCTTCATACACTAATGCTCTCAAAAACAACCTTACCACTAATTCCACAGTGAATAATGATTAAACTAGAATCACATGATTTCTGTGATTCTGTTCCTTTATTTATTGGTGTTGTGCTGAGGAATGTTAATTAGGTACGTACTATATCAATGCCCTCTAGTGTTATTTTCCTATAATTGAAGAGTATTGGTGAAACTGTCATCCATCTTCTAGTAAATGGATACCTGCTTCACAGAGTCCAATGTTACATCGAACACACACACACGAAAAAACGAAACGTTTTCAATACTCATCTGACTTTCTATTTTGACGACAAAAGACGCGTTGAAGACATCTGCTAATCAATTCAGCACTTCATTCCGTTTTCGTTTAAAAAAATTTTCTAAAAGTAACTTGTGAAAAACCAAGCATTACATGTATCAGAGCTGCACACTCAGCGCCATTTAGTGATATATCTTTCTTGTGAGGGAACTTGTTTTCTTGTAGTTAAACACAAAGCTACTCAATGGCCTCTCTATGTTATAAGCTTTCAGGCTTCTGACTCACTGGGAGGCTTCTAGAGGAATAAATAAAATAACACAAACTGATTTATTAATAAACATTCAGTAGTTTAACCTTTACATATCTGGAAAATAGAAGTTCATTTAATTACGAGTTTGTTGCTAGGGT